CTTAATGAAACTTGTAATAAAGAAGCTCGACTCCTCCTAGTTGAGTTACCAAGACCGCGCGAGTCCGCGGGGCGGTAGCGGTAAGTCGGTTCCCAGGCCACCTCCTGAATTCGAAAAATTTCAGAGTTGCTGTGGAACTGGAGAGTGGATAAATTTAATTCCCGAGAACCCTATATTTTTTGACATTTTTTGATTTCAATGACAAAATGCAATTTAAATATGACATTTTAAATAAAAACATAGTATATAAATTTATAGTTAATTATAAGACATCAGACATAAATTTATAGAAATTTTAAAACTAACACCCAATTATGGAATATGTTTTGTGCACTTCTCCACCCTCTAGGCAAATCATATTGTTAACTACACAAAGATAACAGACTTTTTTCATTGGTAATTTTTAAAACCGCATAATGAATTTCTTGTATCAATATTGAATTCTTCTTATCTGGTAATATCTTTTCAACTACAACGGTAGTGTAAAAGTATTGAGTTTTTATTTTGCTCATATTATTCAGTTTCAGTTATGCATTTTTCTCACTTATACATTTATTTCCTTTAGTTCAGTAGCGTAACAAAATGAGTGCAGGTCCACCCGGAAAACTTATATCCTAGCCCCCTTCATAAAATTAATATTGTGAATATTTTCTAAAGAAAATATCTGCCTTTTCTCTGGGCACCTTCTTTAAAAAATATCCACAATATTGCAGCGACATGCCACGCTCAAATCAGACAACCACGTGGAAATAGGCGAGCATCGCCGATGTTAAACAAAGGGCGGAGTGATGACGCACTGGGACTTTCCGTGGACGTAGCGGGCCCAGAGCGGCTTTGGGGAGGAGGCAATGGGGGCGGCGGGTAGAGCCAAAAGGGCCTATATAAGGCCAGGAGAACAATGCCCCACTCTTTTTGTTCTAGCGGCGTCGGCGACAGGTGAAGCGCGTGTCTGTGCGTGTAGGTGCACTAGGGCGAGGGGCCGGCAATTCATTGTCGTGACGCGTAGATGGTCTCAAAGTAGAGCGGCTTCATACAGGGAACATCGGTGGTATGATGCGGTGTGGTAGTCGTTCTTAAATCATCTCTCCTTGTAGTGGGTCTATTTATTTAGTTTATTGTGAGAAGGGTAGTTGTTAAATTGAGACTACGTCTAGATTGTTAATAAATCTACTGTTTTACAAACCACTCTTGTCTGTGTTTGATTACACCCGTGTGACGCCACAATATTAACCCCCTAATTCTAACTGCTATTTATTGAAAACCGTTGTCAATAACGCTCTCATCTCAGCATTATCACATAAAATGGCAAACTAAACAACACATAAAATGAAAAATCTAAACAACAAAACAATCAAAAGACAGTTTATGAGACATGATTATTTTTAACAATGAAACCGACTTATAAGCAATAGTGGAAAAATCTGGCCTTGTTATTTAATTTTATGAAATTAATACTGTTATACAACCTAAACAGATTGCTTTCCTTTACTAATTTAGGAAAAAGGTTTCATTAGCTACCCAACCGGAAAAAATCTATCTTCTGAAAGATTGATACAATAAAATATTAAAAACAGCATATCACAAATTATCAATTTAATATTTCTTACAATCACAAAACATTCAGCTTGAAAATAGGCCTCTGTTACCGACGTCCGCTCATGTTGAGGCCTTGTGGGCCCGAACGTTAAACCACTGCTCCCCTAAGAAATGTATAAGTAAAGCTTTACTGTAATGTACTTTTTTTTTTTATCTAATGCTTTGAAGAACCCTGTTGCACAAAGTATCATGCAAATTATTGTGTATAGTTTTACTAAATCACTACTAGAATATAAATTATATTTTTATTTTGGCCTCTTATTTAATGTGAATGTGGGCAAGGAATACATTTAGCTTCCTTCTCAAACTAAGGAAAGTTTTTTGTTCTGTTTTTCTGTAGTACTACTTATGTAAGTGTTCCTACCTTATCATTCTATGATTTTATCAAGACTTTTTTCACCCAACTATTATTCACCATACTCCACAGCCCCATCTCTTCATGACCACAGTAGAATGTTTGGGAGCTAATGCCCTCTGCTGCCAGCTGTAGAAACCATCACAATCAAAATTTTCCCCAATTCACTTGGTGAAATCAATTACGATTACCGAATGAACATAATTGTGGTTCATAATTCGGCAACCAACTACTGTACATTGTAATAGACTGTTTGGTTGATGTAGTAGATGTACAGTTTCAAACGCACAAGTATCAATGAGATGTTCCTTGATGGACTACAAAAAGAAGTAAGCTGGAATTTGAAATTAACCTGGCATCTCTTAATCTCAGACTCCCCTTCTATTAATTATATGAAATTAAGAATGCAGCTAGTTCATTCCTGAAGTTGTTTAGTGGCACTCCGAAACGAATCACTTTTAAAGAAAGAGAGCAAACAACACACTAGTAGCGGAAAAGATGAGTTAAACAAATGGCCCAAAGACGTCTTACAACTTCCACCCTACAGACTACACGCAACATGGATTGTATGGTACAAGTCAATCTCTGTCATTGCACGACCAAAGTTAAGAAGTCCATTTTTTGTTGTAAAATATATCTATTCACTTATAAAACTCTGACACAATTCAGTCACATATGTAACATTTTGCAATAATTCAAATTGGTATAAACACTTTAATAAATATACAGGTAAATACATAACTACAAAACGTCATTACATTATGCTAAACCTTACATGGGCCAAAATATATACCCAAATTTGCATTTGAGTTACCAAAAAAGTAAATTACGTATTGCTATGAGCTATGGATAAACTAACTTCTATTACTGCTAATTTTCATTATTTCTTGTGTTTCCACGTTTTGTGTGTGAAACTTCACACATGAGTGTGTTATGGATTAGCACCAAAAGAAAATTGCAATTGAATGAGTGCAATAAGAACAAGACTTAGAATCAAGTCGTGGAACTTTGTAAAAACAAGCAGAGCAGCGCAAAATTTTATCATATGCATTCTAAAAATAATTATGTACCATACAATGTACTTTCAAAAATTTAGATGAACCTACAACCACAACGCATTCTCCTAGCTTTAGAAATGAATACTATCTGACATTAGTACATTTTTGAATCTTTTCTAGAGGAACTATCCAATGTTTCTACACCAAATAGGCCCAAACAAGTAAAGAATACCTCATGCATGAATAATATTGTACAATTTACATTTTATTTTAAAACTGTAAATACTAATAATAAATGAGCAATTACAACACAATAAGATTACCAGCAATCAATAACAAAAAAGGCTTTGGAATTCAAAATCCAAAACCATAAGTTAAAAGGTCTTCTGAAAAAACATGACCAGTATAATATTTTAGTTTCTCATTATTTACAATCATGAATTTACTACTGAAATATATTACAATCCTTATTTCCAAAGACCAAATTCAAATTGAAAATAATAAAACTGAATTTTTGAACTTCACTCTAAAATCGGCATTAAAATAAGAATTAGATTAGAAGATGATATTTGAACAATAATTAATCAGAACACATGATATTTGAACTGTAATCGCAATTTCTTTTAATATTGGAAGCATAAAATCAGCTAAGTTTCTGAGAAGATTTTTTGGTTATAAAAAAAATTAATAACAAGCTCACAATCAATGACATATTCCAATATACCACACACCTACATAAATCTTCACATATACACAACATTCTACATTCATTTCAGACTTAGCTATTCACGTAAATAACTTTTAATAAGTCACCTCGAGGCGACAGAAGTCTTTTCCAGCTCTTTCGCTGATGTAATTACTTTACATCGCCATTGAAGCAGGAACCGCAACCACCCTCAGGGGACGAGACCCAATTGATGTTCTGACTGGGATCCTTTATGTCACAGTCTTGCAATGGATGCAGTTCTGGGCATTTGATTTTGCAGCCCGTTGCCCACCTGCCATCCTTCCAAAAGGCAGCAAAGACTCATAAACTCCTAAAAACAAAATTTTGAAAAATAAAAATTAATTGAGAAATCTACTAAATGTATTAATAAAACTGAAGTAAAAAATAAGCTAATAGAAACCTATTTAGGGCTGTAAAAATCATTTCTTCTATATCATAATACACTAGGGGAAAGTTTAATGTTTTTTGGTTTTTTTTCAAATACTGTCTTCCGAATAAAAAAAAAATCCTATAAATTGTGAAACCTGCTAGATAGGTAAATAATTAAACACAAGGAGATCAAATGGATTTAAGACACCAACAATGTAGAATTGAAGATTGTTCTGATGAATCCTACAACATTCCTGCATTGCTCAACAAAACAATGCGTTCCAGGTCCTTAAACGCTTGTGCTGGTTTTTTTTTGTCACCAATGGACCCAAGTTACGTTTCTTAGAGTTGCCATCAAAAAAATGTGATCTCTTGGACCTTTAAGTATGTTATTGGTCTTTTTGAATCACTGGTGGATCCAGGGGGGGGGGGGGGCGATGCACGCCCCCAAGGCTTGAGTTTTCGTTACCTTCTTTATTTTGGCAAAATTGATTTAAATATTTATTTATGGTTCGGAATTACGTTATTATTCAAACAATTATATCATATATAGTACCCTGTCTACATTAACATAAATAATATACAGTATAAAACAAATATGCTTATTATTTAACAAATTTAACGATGCCCCCGCTTTAAAAAAATGAGCGGCTGATCTCCTGTTCTAAATACCTGTATTCCCATAGCAATGTGTGGATCAGAAAAGTGTAGAAATCTATTTGAATAAACTATTTTGAAATTCTGTGGCAATTTTAATTTAAGCGGCCTCAATTTAACAATACTATTACGAGTGTTTTAACTTACACACAATGCCTCCACGCTCTATGTGATGAAATAATAGTTTTAGGACTTGGACCTTCAAAATTGGGATCCAGTATGAAGTGATCCCCTTTTAAACTATTTATAAAAGTGGGAACCTTTACATCGATTCCATGAATATTTGTTTTATTAGTAGAAAAATCTTTTTACAGTCCTAATTTTAACACGTGCTAAAACATTACTTCTACTTTACTCATCTAGTGTTTCTTGTATCAGTTTTCTCAACAGATTGTAAATTATTTTTCAAAGACAACCAGACAAATTATTAATTTAAATGGGTTTCTTTAATAAGAGCCAAAATAGCAATTTAGCAAATATGAAGATTGCAATATATAAATAGCAATTGCCAAATATTAGGCAAAATCAAAGGTGGTGGCAAAAAGAGAATATGAAAGTGAAAACAGCCAATTCTTGAGCTCATCAAATCCTTCTCGGTGATCCTTCTATGAACAAAAATCTCAGGAAAGTGTGAAAGAAGAAAAATAATATTTTCACGCAGCACTCATGCGGGAAACTAGAGCATACCTTAACTGTTTACTGATTGAAAACCTGGTTACTATGTAGTATGGGAAATATCGGCAAAGCCAACTTTGGTCCGTATGCATACCACAAAGGAGACATCACTGTATAAAATAAATTAGTACTGTGAAATAAACAAAAGACTGAAGCAGTATGACTGCCATCTCATGTATCGAGAATGATCCCAAGAGTACATACTTAGAACTTTCCATGAATTTGAGCAAAAAAAACATATATACTACTCATATGAAAACATCTTTGACTCTGACATACTTCTTTCCAAATGCCAAGCTCACCATTGTCACCTCATGTAACAACATTTCATTCATCAGCCACACTTACATTTGGCATTAGTTACGTAAATAACTACTCTACAATGTACTTCAGATCTTACCAGCAGGACAGAATCTGCCTTCTGGGCCATCAAACACAGCCAAATTTCTCTTCACAGGAACAGTGTCATCTCTCAATGTGAGGTGTGGGGGCTGGTCACCTTCATGATTTGTTCCCGTCAAAGCAACAGAAGAAAGCAGATCAAAACTTATTACATTGTCTGGCTTTGGATATTCTATAGGTGTGCTTTCTGCAGCAGGCTTTAGTCTTTTATAGTCAGGGTCTGGAAAAAAAAAAATTACAATGTGACAATAGTGTTCAAAATACAACCTTACATTAAAACAAGATAGAAAATTGAAACACGAGTCTATTTAACTTGGTTGAAATGCTTCATCACCATTCCTAATAATGAATAAACTTAGTAACTTTCCGACATAGTTATTAACTAAACTCCATGGAAATCCAAAAGAAAGGGGAAATAAAAAAAATCTTTAAGTTGAAGGTCATTACAGCAAATTTCAATTTAATTGATCAGTACTTATCACTATGATTCTTTAATTTTATAAGCCTTTAATATCTATTATCTAATCAAGAATACTTATTTATTTATATCATACATGGTAAATTTCATGAATCATTTTCGTACAATAAAATAACATTTGGGATAAAAAATATATCTACACATCAATCAAGTGTCTAAATAACAAAGAAAAAATTAAGAAATTTAAGAAAAACTAATAAAGTATTAAAAAATAAACTAATATAAAGTAGTACTATTCATGACCTAAGGTCATCAGTACGGTGCCTATTCCCGGTCCTCGAGCTTCACCCCAGGGCACCCAACTTCTATTAAGACCTTCGGCCGACAGTTTTTCAAGCTGCCTAGTGTTGGAATTTGTGGCACTGAGGCAACATATTCTTTTCCATGAGGGAATTTTTTCCATTTCCTATGTTTACTATAGCAGAGGTTCAGGTTCACTATAACAGGGTCTTCTTTTGCTTATTTGTAATGTAAGTGAAACAGGACAGTTCACCATAACCAAGGGTTCACTATATCTCAGTTCACTATAACTGGAGTCGACTGTATGAATCAAACAATTGAAAATAATTGACTTTTTAAGGACAAATAAAGATATTGAAATTTTCAGTTCATGCTATTAATGTATTTTGTTGTACCTCTACATTAATAAAAATCAATTGTTTGGAGAAATTCTACTTAATTTTGACATCATTGGATATAGTGAACCTCTGAAATAGTGAACCAAAAATGTTAGTCCCCAGAAGTTCTCTATAACTGGAGCTGACTGTACTTTCATTATTTTAGGAACTTTTTCTTCCTACAAGAAATTGATGAGAGCCATATAAAACACACAATGGCAAAAGAATATTGTTTCTATTAACATAAAGCACGTAACATAAATATTATTTTAATTTCAGCACAAATCTCCATCCCTCGTTGAACTTACCTCCATGACTAAGAGTCCATGGCTCAGCACCACGAATCATGAGGGTAAAACCAGAATAGGCCATTCCACCATACATTCCAAAAGGATTGTGGAAGGAAGGACGAACATTTCTCACTGCTTTCAGCTCTTTCCATATCCAACTACTCTTTATTTTCTCTTCATAATCTTTGGGCTCAATTCCTATCAACATAAAATGACACTAATTTTTTTTCCAACCATTTCTTTTTTCTGTAACTGGTGAAACCTCACAGTACAATTTATTTAATTTCTTCTGGAAATTTCCTACCTGCAGTAGACGACTGATTATTTTCATTAGTCACAGCCTCAAAAGCGCTCTCCGCTGCCAACATGCCACTCTTCATGGCATTGTGAGTGCCCTTGATTTTAGGGACATTTAAGAATCCAGCACTGCATCCCACCAAGCACCCCCCAGGGAAGGTGAGTTTTGGAATGGATTGGAAGCCTCCTTCATTCAGCGCGCGAGCACCGTAGGCTATCCTGCAGAAGAGAGGAGACAATACATGTGGTTCATGCAACTGACATTGGACCAAAAATACAAGTTGTCTGTTTTATTAAAAATATTTGAAACAGTGTTATGAGTATTTTTAGGCCATTTTTAAAACATTTTTGGAAATATTTTAAAATGGCCTCATATGGTCTAAAAACAAAGAAATAACAGATCAAAACCACTTCAGATGAATAACTCAAGCTATTGGATATGTTACTGATGTAATCAAAGGTTCTTCCTTTCGTTCAAGTGAACTCAGCTTGCAAACTTGGAGTTTGGACAAAAATCTCTTCCTTTATAGCGAAATCAGCCGAACTGACTATGGCGCTGATAGACATCACAGGAACGTAGGATTACATACTACCAGCAGCTGACATTAAAATATATGAGCGAAGAAATCAAATATGCTACTCAGGAATTCCGTGGTGAACATTTGTTGCTTCTCATGAATATTGTTTCAAACAAGTACCACTAAAAGAATATTAAAATCAATGAAATCAGCACACAAAATGCATTAAAAATGACCTAAAACTGTAAAATATGAATTAGTCGAAATTGACAAAAAATGCAAAAAAATTATATATAAAAATGAGTCATTTACTTTTGGCATAACGTAATATTAATTTTAATATAGAGGCAACCAATTTAAAAACTTAATATTCATAAAATTAATTTCTATACTAAACGGCATTGTTATAAAGTGGAAAAGAAAAAAATTACTTTTCATTCAAATCCGCCCCCTAGTTATGAGGTAATAACAATAATAACACAATCTTTTTTTTGTTATGTTTGGTACTCCTTTTGCAACTTTTAATTTACATCACACATTTTTCAAACAACACCCCTATATAGACATGCAGCAAGATTTCTATACTTTACAGGAATACCTAAATTATAACCATTACTTCTTAGTGAAAATCATTTTTATTTTTAGGAAAATTGCATTTAAATAATTTTGTTTATTGTAATCTTTGATGTTAACATTGCCGGGCTACTGATCCCAAGTTCGCGAGATCAAACCCGGACAAAGAAGGAGGAAATTTGTTGTGCCAAAAATCGACGGCATGCATGCGGACGCTTATCGGTATGTAAAACAGATGTGCCTAGGAAAGTACTTGGCTGGTCCTGGCAAAATTAAGCAATCTAAATCTAGCAATTTAGCACCAATCAAAGTTTGGATTTGAATCACTAGATAATTGCAGATATTGTATCAATCGCGCAACTTCTCCCCCATACGTCATATACAGTTTTTACTGTATTTTGACTAAATAAATCTAAATCTAAAGTTTTCTTGTCCGATACCTTATTTCGCCCGCTCTGGCACAAACAGTTGAAGGCAAAAGCTCGCAGTGAGCATTGATGAGAACATTGCAAACACATCTTCACTGGCGTGAAATAGAAACTATTTCTGTTCAATACGAGAAAAATCTAAAGAAATGCCCGAAGCAGAGAAGGATCCATCACACGAGGTACCTCGGAATGCAAATTATTGACAACGTCGTGAATGCATGATTGATTCTCCAGATAGGCATTGCCTTCTAAAATATAGTTTAGTTACTAATTCCCCACTCTACCCACATTTCTTCAATCTATTGGTCAAGAAAAAGTTGCGAGAGTAATATCTAGGCGTGCGCTATCTGGAATTCAAATCAAACCTCAAATAATAAATATTGGCGCACACGCGTCCCTAGGGAAAGCAATGGCAAACTACGCTAGGGTTTACTTACCCGGAACAAGTCGCACAAGACTTTAGGCACTAACCAATTTAGCAATTTTTATTTCGTATATTTCAAGTAGGAGGTTTTAAAGAATTTCTCAAACATTAATTTGTAAACGTATAACAAAAGCTCAAATTTAAGAAACGAACAAAGAAATATGAAATCGCATGTACGCATTCTAACTTACTCAACTGCCTCAAAACATCTCTAAAATTAGGATTACGAAGCGCAGATTTTCAAAGCGAGCGACTCCGTCCAACGGCAAATTACTCAAATACTCGTATTTTCTGAAGAACACAATTTCCTTTAAATTTTGAAAATGTTCCAATTCATGTATAATACCCTCCAAAATCAAAATATCGGCTTGAAATCCACAGAGATCAGCCAGATAGACAGATGAATAACATTATAGAGAAATTCGGCTAAACGATTTAACCGCTACCGTTTTCACAGAAGGACGGACGTTTTGCCGTCAAACAACTTTTCGGTAGCAAGAATCCACAATACATGGATTCTAGCTACATCGCGTGTTGAAGGAATTTTTTTCTAAATTTAGCAACTGGATTTATCCACTTTTTCGTTATCAGAGCCCTGTAATAAAGAGTTTTTCTGCGGGAAATCCGCCGTTTTTTCGCGCAGCATTACATAACTCTCTCTCTAGAGTGGTAGTGGTTGCAAGAAAGTAAAAATAAAAAATAATAATAATTTTTAAAAAAAGTGAAGAACATCTGCTTCAATAAATGCAGAATCATTACGTGAGTGCAAATCTAAAATCATATGTTACTGACTTCTTTATCAAACTGAGACTTTTCTAATCGATACACACAAAAAAATCATAGAATTGCAGTCAAAAAATAATGAGTACGATTCTGCTCTCTTTATCAACAATTAGCAAATATACAAGCATATTTCCTACAGCAGCCTGAATTTACTCTGCTATCAACTTCAGTTAATGCATTCAATTTAAAACCAAAGAACTTTTCAATCATACCCAAAAATGTTTGCTAATATCAGGTTTAATAATAATAATAATAATAATAATAATAATAATAATAATAATAATAATAATAATAATAATAATAATAATAAAATTAAACCTGACTAAACAACACTTAAGGATAAGGAACTGCAGTAAAAACTAACCCTTACACTTTTTGTAACTATTTTTTTAACTGATTTTCTACATATAAAAAAATCAAGTTTATAATTATAACAATCATGATATTTAAAAAATAATATATATTTTTAGTTAGGAATATTAAGTTATTTAGAAATGAAATTTACTTTCTGTACTACAAAAACTGCTAGGTAGATCGTATGACAAACTGTAAAGACTAATGGAAAGAATAACAGAAAATGTCTTGGTAAGAGCATATATAACATGACAATACAAAATACCAAAAATTACAATATCCGTTTTGAATTCAAGGGTCTGCAACATCAGTCAGAATAATCGGGAATATCAATTTTGATGAAAATTCTACTTATGGTTTAGCTGCTAACATCTACCACAATCAGATGGATAAAATGACAGACTGACAGACACAAAGTTTGGTCGTCAAGTGATTTTTCATTATCAAGGACTCACCAAATGTGGAGTGTGACTAGATGACATAATTTACTACATCTAGAAACAAGATTTATCCACCTTTTCGATACCAGGGGATGACAATAGGAGTTTTTCAGTTGAAAAATCAGTTTTTCCCCCCCACAGTGTTACAATACTTTCTCTTTACTGTGTAAGCAGTAGGGGTGCAAATAAAAAAAGGCATATACAATACTTGATAAATATGAGAAAATATATGTATATTAGCATAATTTTGAAAATTTTCAAAATTACAAGTTAGAATTTCCCCCACTTCTTTTGGTAGAATTTTTCAAAAGTTAGCAGGTTGCATTGCAATAATTCAAACGCAATGACAACAGTTTGAAATTCTCTGGATAACCTCTCATTGTTGGGAGGTGTTTCGAGGTGAATGGAATTTGTTTTGAATTGTCAAATTTGTGTCGATGTCAGTGGGGATGGGGAATTTGTTTTGAACAGCCCTGGTTCTAGGGCCTTCCAGACCAAATGTTGAAAAGAGTTGTAAATAATATGTTTTGGGTGTGTTCATGTTCTTCGGCACTTATCAGATAAATGTAGAAAAAAAGACTTCTTTCTCACCTTTTTCCACCTTCCAGTGTGGACTTGATGGAAGGATGATGTTTGAACCTTTGGAACTCTCTGAACGGACTAAGATATGGATTAGTATAATCCAAGGCAACAACAAAACCAATAGCTATCAATGGAGTCGACTCATTCAAATGGTACAAGAATGAACCACCATATGTTTTAAAATCCTGTAAAGAAATAAGTGATGTCTTAACAGCCAGTTTAAAAATATATTTTTAAATTAAATATGCAAGTCATGTTAAGCTAGCACCACTCTTCCACAAGACCTGTGTTGGAAATAAACTATACATATTGCAGCGATACACAAAATTGTAAAGATTTGTGAGAAGTAATACTATTACTAAAAATGTTGAATTGAGGACTGAACTACTCAATTATTTCTTAAGACAAAAAAATCATTTTATCTTGTTATACTCAGATGTATGTATATAATTCTCCTATAAATTTTAAAAATAAAGAAACAACAATTTGATTTGTGGTAAAACATGTTTTTTAAATTTAAATAAAAAAAATATTCATTTGATTGAAGTCGCCATATGAAAAGTACCTGAACACATTTGCAGCCAAACAAAAAAGAGCCGAGTAAAATAATAACTCATACCGATCACTTAAAGAATCACATTTAGATATCTATTAACCAATCAATACCGGAATTAATTTCTTACACCTCATGCTTGACCATTATTGTCACATCCATGCCCACAAAACCATTGTTGTCTGTTTACAACTTTTATCGCTAAATGATTCTACTAGAGCAGTCCAAAGCAACAATTGCTGCACTAAAAACATTATTGCTCCAAGAAGTAGCAAAACCATTGGACCTTAGAGCTGCATATACCCCATATGAACATTGAAGTGCACAAACAATCATTTGCTTTTCACTGGCCTCTCCGACAACCATAGGCATGTAACAGCTACAGACTGTTTTAGAAGAAAATATGAACCGATGTAAATCATGAATATAATTTGACCAGGAGCCAGCTTTAGGATACGTGGATAAATTAACTTCTAGCATTCAGGAATTCCAAAACGTACAATACATGATTTGTTTACGATGACTATGTCTATTGATGAAATAAAATTAGCAAATTAGTGCAAAAGAAGGAAATTGGAGAGGACCAGAAATATATATTGCCAATAGGCAACACATGGCATTAATGGACTAATAATACAACGATATGCTAAAAACACACTGACAGATTACATTATAAATAAATGTCAATGTTATTAATTTAAAAGAAAATAAATATATAAATGGAATTGAATATAATAATAAATATATAAATGAAATCATTTTGATAAGAACATAACAAAAAGATTACTTCCAATAAAATTTCAACTAATATGTTTCAATTGCTTACAGTAATTCCCCTCAAACTAAAATAAATTTTTAAAAAAAGAAAAAAACTTCGGAACATTAAACACTCATATTGTTTGTTTGTTTTTTATAAAAAAAGAAAGAAAAGATAAAGCTCTCTAAATAAAATTTAAAAATACCCTCTCTCCCCCAAAAATTGGTTACCTTAAGGTTTAAATGTGAAACAAAAACTTCAAGACCTCTTGAGCATTTTACACCGACACTTATTTATTATCATTGCTATTTTTTATACGCCAACTATTTAGGATTATAATATTAAAAACATACCAATGGCCATCCTACTGTGTGCTCCACCGTGCCCGGTTTGTGCTTGTTAGGATCTATTTCCCAGATTTCCTTGAGACCAATTCCATATGACTGGGGTTCACAGTTCTCTCTCAGATTAAAACGTTTCATGAGTTGCTTTCCTAAATGTCCATGGCATCCTTCGGCAAAAATTGTGCATTTTGCATGAAGCTCCATTCCTCGCTCAAATGTGTCCTAAAATGTTAATAAAGCAAATAAATTCATTAAGCATTAATTATGGATTATTTGGTTAAAGTAAGGTACATGGTAGACCCTCAGAGAATTGCGGTGGCTGGAGGGTCTTTTTAAGCCCTCCCTCAAATTACGCTACACGCTCTGATAGAAATTATGGATATGCGATTTTCATGTCTTGCCCTTCATACACTTTGTCCCCGTCACATTGTAACGTCATTTTACTTTCGAAGGCAAGTTTTCTCGCTTTGCATGGCGAGGCTCGAGCCTTAGGCCCTCGCAATCACTATAAATATCCTTGAGTCTACCGCATAATTACCAATTCACTTTTATAAGAAAGCACTTTTCAAAAAGCCTCCAGAATTCAAACTGCGCAGTTGCCGCCAGAGCGGAGCGAAGTAGCGGTTTAAATGTCTTCCGTAAGTTGTACCGTATACTAGAATTCAGTCTATTATTTAAAATAATTCATGTTTTCAAAATTTTCATTTCTTTCTGCGCACATGTGATCTTTTTTATTTTCAAAATGGGTAAAGTTTCACCTTGGGAGAACCATCCTTTGCAATGCCCACATCATTGGTAGCTACTCCCTTTACACTTCCATCTTCATGGTACAGAACTTCTGACGCAGCATATCCAGGGTAAATTTCAACACCCAAGGCTTCTGCCTGTTCTCCAAGCCATCGCACAAGGTGCCCCAAACGAACAACATAGTTACCATGGTTGTTCATAGGCAACCCTACAAGAGAAACATTAATTGCAGGGTTATCAAGAAGTGTTTACCAATGTTCTCAACAAATGTCATTCCGTGATGCTTACCTGGGAGGATAGGAATAGCTATCCTGGAGGTTTCTGTCAAGATGCCAAATTTATCTTCAGTGACAGGGGTGTTTAAAGGAGCTCCTTTCTCTTTCCAGTCTGGGATCAACTCATTCAAGGCATTGGGTTCAATACATGCTCCAGACAGTATATGACCACCTGCATTTATGACCAATTGAATAAAGCATAAAGTAAATTATTCCCCGACTACAATGCAATATTAAAAACTTTACACACCCATCTCAGATGCCTTTTCCACTAGACATACTCTCAATTCTTTTCCATTCTGCTCAGCCAATTGCTTCAGTCTTATTGCAGCTGACATTCCAGCTGGCCCACCACCCACAACTAAAATATCTGCCTCGTCGACATACCTTTCCATGTTCACATCTACAGAAGGAAAATCATAGAATCATAAAAAATTCTATAGTGATAAATTAAAGAAAGAATTTTATTTCACATTTTTACTTATGATATAATAATTATTCATGCAGACAAATTAAGAAATACATGACATAACTCATACCCACCCTTCCATCTTGGATCGTTCTCTCTGGGTACAATTGTGTAATGGGTTGTTATTTTTGGAAAGGCCTGCTCAGAGTAGCATCTCTTGGCAATAGGAGATAATCTTTGCACTGAAAATCAAACAGTCATTAAAAGATTACAGTTCTTTCAGAAATGCTCTATTAGAGACAATTTTCTTCTTGATATTCTATTCAGAATAGTGGAATGCAAAACAACTGCCAATTCATCGTCATAAAGTTTGTACTTGAACTGTCACAGATGCCGGCGTTAACAGAGTGCAAAGTGCACGACTGTTAACTCACGAATATAAAAGGTTAAAGGTTAATTTGGCAGTGTAATTACTTTAAATAATAGAAATTCAATACTTTTCGTTCAAAAGATCGTACGTTAAACTTACTGAAATGAGACACAGCAAAAACATTTAAAACGTTTTCAATTTTTTAAATATTAAATATGTTTTCACTGCAGCATAAGCTTTCAAATAAAAAAAAATCAAAATGTACAACAAATAAAAGACACAGATGACAAGAGACATGCAAATATTCTATGAACTAAAATGTTGACAAATCGTGCATACGTTCACAAAGAACATATTTTCATACCGAATCTAGAAACCTGGCTCAACCCCGTCGCCATCTCTGCGCCCCAGAGTCTCTGAACTCACGGATACTTCACCGCATTTGTTAACTGCCCTGAAGTTTGCCAACATGAAATTTATCTTCAGAAAGGTCTACCAATGCAAACGCCGAATGTGCTGCTATCTCTTAGCAAACAAAATTCAAGATCGTACACAGTATATAACGCGGATAGGTAGCGCTGCACAAACGATTACAGAAGTGCTGCTGTATAGCAGACAACAGACGAATCAAGAGCACGCCAATCTTATAGTTTCATTATTACAAATTCAGGAGCCAAGAAATGTAATCAATATTTAAATTATTTCGTCTGGTCTTTAGAATTACATGTCCTTTTGGCTTTCCATCCTCGCAATACATCAGGCGTTAACCAATGTTTGTCACATTTACTCACGGCCTGCCACGGAACTACTTCTGGCCGGCCAACGTTTGGAGTGTGCTGCTCTCTAGAAATATCTACGAAACTAAATGCATTGCAGAGTGCTTTAAAACTAAAGCGTGTGATGTGTCTACAACCTTTGCTGTAAGAGGGCCACTTCATTTCCGTAGCTAGCGAATAGAGGGCGTTTGCTCACGAATAAGTTACCATAGCGGAGCGTCAAAAGGCGGGCGGCACAATCGGTAATCAGCTTTTAAAAAATCTATTTGAATTACTTCGTTGCCGGAGGGTTAATAAGAAAGGACTCATATAAGGCATATTTTGTACAAAAAAAATAGAAATTGTAAATTTTAAAAAGCATACTAACAAAAGTCAAGTATCGCTTTTTTTCTCCAAAAAAGAAAGAAAAAATACCACTTGGAATGTCGATTGAGACAAAAATTAACAAACAATTAATTAAAAAATTAATTAATAAATTCATTAAAATTTTATTCATACAATTTACACGCTCTTAAATAATACTTTGTGGTGTGGGTACTTTTAAAAATATCTGATTTTTTTATGTTCAATTACATCTATTTCAATTCAAAATTTGAATGAGAAGACAGGGTCGGTTTGGGTTCAATTGTAATTAACTTTATATATAGTCAGTAAGGAGTGTTGTATTTTTACAGTTATAAAAATATGTACGAGTATTATTTCTTCAAAATTCAGTCAGAAATTAATTATTCTTGAAAACTCATAGTCCCATAAATTTCAGGTCAACTTTTGCACTTCTCTAATCTTTCGTATATTGGTATATTCACCTGAAATGTCTAATGCACACGAAGTCGTGAACTTAGTGAAGTAGGGTAACTAGAGCTTCATTCTGCAAATGAACAGAACTTATTTCATAAAAAATATTTATTTTCATTTCGAAAAACGAAATTGACAGAAATACATGATGGCTTAGCCTCAGTCTACCCTACATTTCATTTTATTTAGTATTTCAATTCAATGGATGAAAATCAGGACAATATAAGAGGGTGTTTTTTTTTTTTTTTTTTTTTTTTTTT